CCCTAAACCCTAATCCCTAAGCCATCCCTAAACCTTGGGGGAACCCTGAGCTCGATGCCTCTTAACCCTAAACCCTGGGACCGCCTCAACCCTAAAGCTCCGAAGCCCCGAAACCCTAAATCTTAAACCTCTACATTCATTTTTAAACCCTACAAGCTAATCCCATAAACCTCATTGTCATGATTGTGGGTATTATTTTGCATGTTTTATGGGTCCTGTGCTTAAACTCAATAAGGAATAGAAATCTAGATTTCTATTACTATCCCAAAACTCTAGACCCTAAACCCTAGAAATTGGCTCCCCTGCGGACATGGTACTGTTGGAAAAAGGCTCTCAACAAAAAAAAAAAGAAACCTAGAAATTGGGAGGTGGATGGCAAGGTGAGGCCCATGGGTCGAACGCAGGCACCGAGCCTTCTGCTGCCCTCGGGTTGAAAGCTTTCGGTTTTTGAAGGCCAGGGTTTAGGGTTGGGGGCTTGGGATTTGAATTCAGGGTTTAGGGTTTATGGCTTTAGCTCAGAGTTTAGCTCTTGGGCTTCTGTGGCTTGGGCTTACGGTTGTGTGGTTTGGGCTTTAGAGTTAAGAGTCCCGACTAACCATGTTTGCGCCCATGTTCCAACGTTTTGGATGTTACCCGTAAGGTTGTGGTCTGAACCGGCGCTTAAACTCATAAAACCGATGCATACAACCCTGATGAGGGTTGTTGCGTTTTGCAAGTCAGAACTTCTGGTGCGATGAATTAGGGTTTAAGTTAGTTGGTTGTGGTGGTTCTTCTGTCGGTGCTTTTGAGCTTGACTGGCTTTGAGAAAGTCGTCGTCTTCATGGTGGCGACGAGGAAGATGATGGTTCTTATATGTTTTTGTCATCACAATGAGCCCCGCCGTACGTATGGTCGTCGTCGTCCGCCTCCTCCTCCTCCTCCTCATCACCATCAGCAGCATCATCATCACCACCACCATCATCATTACAATCACCATCAGCAGCGCCGTCATCGGCATCGGCATCGGCATCATCATCATCATCATCATCATCATCATCATCAGCATCAGCATCATCATCACCACCATCAGCACCAGCACCAGCATCAGCAGCATCGCCTTCTTATCATCATCACCATCATCCCCATTATCTTCATCATTACAATCACCATCGGCAGCGCCGTCATCGGCATCGGCATCGGCATCAGCATCATCACCATCACCATCACCATCATCATCATCATCATCATCATCATCATCACTATCACCATCATCATCATCGTCGTCCTCCTCCTCATCATCGTCATGGTGATCGCCGTCATCATTGCTGGCACCCAGGTAGAGTTGTTATTGTTTCCACAACCCCATTGCTGGTCGACGTTAGAGCCTCTCAGGAAGGTGCCGGGAATCTAGAAGTATTTACCTCTGTGGCAAACTTTACACTTGGAAGATTGTTCTAGCTGTTGGGGATTTCCAGGGTTGGGGCTTTTGCTCATACGGCTGAGTGCCTGCCGTTCTGTGCCCAAGCTCTCCTTGACCAGGAAGCTGCCTTAGCAGTAGACCAGAAGTACAAGATCTCGCTCGATCATGCAGCCCCTCACAACACTTACTCATGGCCTGGGTTTGTGGGGTGTGGGCGGGGTGCCAAGTTTTGAGGTCTCTATCCGCAGTGGTCCCAGACTAGGTCACTGCCACTTCGTCCCCCGATTAGAAGCCAGCCTACCTTCAGAAATTGAGGCTATTTGGAGCGGGCCTGTGCCCTGGGTCCTATACATGAGGTTTTCAACATGAACCTATACCAAAGTGGACCATGGTACTTGTCGGTAGTAAGATCCGTAATTCTCGTGGCTCGTAACCCTGAGCGTAACACGAACGTCAACTCCCGAAGTAGCACCGTTTGCGAGCCATGGCCTCCGAACTAGCCCGGGCTAGCATTGCCGATGTGAGCGAGGCTGTTGTGCCTGCAGAGCCCCTGTGCTTAAGCGGGGCGCAAGTATGCGGCGTAATTAACGTAGACTCCTGATGAAGATGATCTCAAAAGGGGTTATGACAGGGATCCTGATATTAGGACACTTAATTAGAGAGAGAGGGGTTTATGAATCAAGAGGTTGCCTTCTTAATTAGCTATCCCTATTACTATTATACAATTCCACGTTGTTGGGTTTGTTGGCGTTAGTGAGTGGTTCCAGGTTAAGCTACGGAGTCAAGGCCTTGCAGGCTGTAGCGTCTTTTATCAAGTTTTCTGTGAGGGTCCTAGGTTTGTTTGTTCAAGGGTTCATGTAACAAAAGGATTCTTTGGTTTCTCTAGGGTGCCTATCCCTATAAGGCGCCATGTAGCCATATAAAATATAGTGACGCTTCGACGGGGTTCCATATGTGTGTTTGGGTCCATGGGGCCTTCGGGTATAAGGGCGCTATACACGGTACTGCAAAGCTCAGGCTCTCTAGGCTTCTATCAGGGTACTGCAAGGTTCCGGGTTTCGTTTTTTTTTGGAGTTGAGGGTTCTGCAGGGTTTAGGGTTTAGGGTTTAGGGTTTTTGGAGTTGGTTTTGAAGTTTGTGGGTTCAGTGGTTGGGGACTGGCATGTCTGGCGGTCTGCGGCTTGGGTTTACGAGCCCGCGACTGGGAATACCTATAATGTCCCTTGTAGTTCCTCTTTTGGTTTAGCCTATTTCATATATGAAGGACCAGGGTAACCCCCAAAAGGGACTACAAGGGAGACTACGGGTAATACTACTATCCCGCAGGGTTCCGATTATAGCGGCAGTAGAACCTACCCTCAGGCCCTACTCAACTTGTTACAGGCCCTTATACCGTGGAGGCGAAATCTCGAAACCACAACCCGATCACGCCAAGAGATTTACCAAGACCAAAAACCCTTCATCCCTAAACGCTAAACATCCCTAAACCCTAAACCTGTAGACTCTCCTTGGTCTCCCTGCCAAAATGAATTTTCTCCGGCCTCTTGCGATACAGCAACTGGGTAGTGCGCAAGTGAATAAGCTGCCAAAAAACACATGGTGGACGCTCGCCTTCCATAGTTTAGGTTGGTTAGGGTGTAGGATTTTTTAGTGCCTTGGGTGTTTTGACGTTACGTAGAAGTCCTCGAAATAAAGCTCACCTGTATAGTGTGGCTCCTAGCTGAGATTATCCAGCTTGGGATCGGGTCTTATTGGAATCAGTTGCCCCTCGCTAGGCAAAATCAGGCGGCAGCTGTACAGCGTACAGTTGTACCTATTCATAGATTCCTTTTCGGGTCTAGTAGCTGTTAGCTGATTTGGTAAAAATTGAAACATCGGAGTTGAATCTTACACTCAACAGATGAAGTCGAGTGTCTTGTATCAGAAATAGGTCTAGATCCCTATACCCTGAACCCTCAACCCTAAAGCCTAAACCCAACCCTAAATCCCTAAATCTCCGGCCAGCCCAAGGCCCATGACGGGCAGCGGCTTCTTCAACCTCGGTAACATCAAGCACCACATCTCCAAGAGAGAAAATAGAATCGGAGTTGAAATATCTGGTATTATTCCTGAGGGCTCGTGTATAGAAGAGTTTACTCCAAAGCCCTGTTCTAATGTTTTAGGCCACCGCATAAATGAGGTTCAACTGCCAAACTCTATCGAGTCATTAGTCAGAGGCCTCAGAAGAAATCGAAGGTCGGCTTGGGCTCTGTTGTTCTGGAGCTTGAAGTCTTTAGCACTTCAAGCTGCCTTAACTGCATTCTGCTTAGAAGGCAGCGTAACCACTGCTTTTTTATCGTCTGTGCAATGGCATAAGCGTCCTATGAACACTGGGCAGCTGGAAGAAGGGCACCTGAAGGTTTTTGGGAATGGCATTGGCCATGCTGTCATATGGGTAGTTTTCTAAATTAGGGTCTTGGTCCCAAATACAGTACGGCACCCTTATAAAAGGACACTAAAAAGGTACCCTTATTTAGAGAACTACCCATATTCCAGTATCCCATGGTAAATCCTTCCCTCTCTCAGGGCACGGTGCTGCTCCAAAATTGCAGAGTCCGATTTTCCAAACCTGAACTTGTAAGTCCTTTGCGGTCTAGGGTTTAGGGTTTAGGGTGCAAAATTGTACCCTGTTGGTCATGGACCTCAGCATACAATGTTGTTTGGCGCCGATCTGACGCAACACCGTGAACGTGACTTCCCCCCCTGAAGCGGTTGCGGCTTTCGGGCTTACTAGCCCTAAGCCCTTAACTGGCCCTTAACCCTAAACCCTTAGCCCTTAAAGCCCTAAGCCCTAAACCCTATACCTTAAGCCCCAAATCCAAAGCCATGAACCCTGAGCCCTTCAGCCTAATCTTTAAGCCCCTAAACCCTAAACCCAAAGCCCTTGAAATTCATAGCCGTTAACACCCTAGGCCCCCTAAACCCTAAACCCTAAACCCTAAACCCTAAACCCTAAACCCAAAGCCCTTGAAATTCATAGCCGTTAACACCCTAGACCCAAAGCCCTAAAGCCTTAAGCGGTTCAGGTCTTGGGCTTCAGAGACTCGCAGTTGGGTGGTTATAGGGTTTAGGGTTTAGGGTTTAGGGTTTAGGGTTTTGGAACATTGAAACTTTTGCTTTGTGTTCTGAGGCCGGTGCGACCATGGGAGCCTCCCGCAGACGAAGACGTGCCGACGGGACGAGGCCAGGGCTTCGGGATCTCTTGAGAGTTTGAGTGTTTAGGGTCTAGGGTTTGGGGTTTTGGGTTTAGAGTTTGGGGTTTAGAGTTTGGGGTTTGGGGTTTAGGGTTTGGGGTGTAGGTTCTAGGGTTTGGGGCTTAGGGTTTGGGGTTTGGGGGGTAGGGTTGCCTTTAGTTATAGTTCCTTTGAGGGTTGAGGGTCGAGGGTGCATAGGGTCAGAGGGGCTGGGGGGTAAAGGGGCGCTTTTATATAAGGAGCCCTAAGCAAGCAAGTTTTCGACCAAAAGGCTTCGCACATTAACAACTACAATTCGGCAGAATGCATCGTGTACCTTGGGAGGAACTTCACATTCCAGCCGCCACCGAGAGCGCGCAGGTTTAGGGTTTAGGATTCTATAGCCCTGGGGGTCCATGTGCCCACATAGTGTATACTTTGGCCCCAAAGTACCTGTATAGGCACTACTTTAAGGCCACAGTATATACTATTTGGGCACACGGATTTTTTAGGGTAGGGTTGGTTCCGAATTCGCCAAGATGTGACGCGGGTTGGAGTCCATTCCTGTGCCAGAGTTTTAGGGCTCTTGGGTTTCAGGGCTACTTAGTAGACACTTTGGGGCCTGAACCGCAATGACTATCTACTTTGGATATGTCGGAGTTTCAGGGCTTGCAGATAAACCCTACACCCTATAAACCTTAAGCCCCTTACTTTCAGAAAATCCGTAAACCCTAAACCCCAACCCGGGCCCTCAGATTCTGGAGAGCTGGCAAAGACTTACAACCTCCAACCGAAGCAGTCGAGGGTTTAGGGTTAATGGTCTAGGGTTTAGGGGTTTGGGGTTTAGGGTCGTAAAACCCGAAGCCCTAGACCCTGTATAAGCCTTCAACTTTACACCCGAAAGCCTTAAACTTTCTGCAAACCAAGGCACACTTACCTGTTCACTCCACAAGCGCCCGACAGAACCCCACCAGGTACCAGGTAGATTCTAGGACCTGCAATGCAACCAGTGAGTTCTCAGAACTCTAACCTCCCAATGTAGATCCTCAACCCCAAACCCAAAACCATAAACCCTAAATCCGAAACCCTAAACCCGAAGCCATAAACCCAAACCCTAAATCCGAGACCCTAGATCCGCAAGCCGAAACCCCGAAACCTTGAAGCACTTGAGGCGGCAAAGGCTTGTCCATCCAACGACCAAAAAGCCAGAGTCGCAGCCCGTCACCCACGCAGCCGACGCTGATGTTGTCGATGAAGGCCGGCTTAGGGTTCAGCTGAACCGTAAACAACCTATTATAGGGGCTTTCATAATTAGAATAGGGTTTGGGGCGACATTATACTACTATTATTATAATAAGGACCCCCCCCCCAAAAAAAAATAGTATAGGTAATTCTTTAGGCCCCTACATTTCCGTTTTGGGATTCCTTGTTTTGATGTCCTTATGTAAAGTCCAAAACAGGGTGGCTGCTTTTTGGTGTAAGGTTTAGGGCGGTTGGGGTGTTAGGTTGGCGTCGGTTTAGGGTTTAGGGTTTAGGGTTTAGGGGAGCCATCTGGGTCAGTCAGGGGTCAGGGCACTGGGCTTCGGGTTTTATCCTTAAACACTCAACCCTAAACCCCAAACTCCTTAAGCTTAAACCCTGGATGTCGGCCCAGGGGTGCGCATGGAAATTTAGCGCGGTGTCTCGTGGTTTCGGCTCGGGGTCATGCTTTTGTAGACATTTGGGTAGTTCTCCAGATGAAGGTCCATTTTAGGGTCCATCCTCATAAGGGTGCCGTACTATTTTGGGACCTAAAAGTTCGAGAACCCTACCTATAGTCTCCATTGTAGTTCCTTTATTTGGTTTAACCAATTATAATATATATTAAGGGTTTGAGAAGGTATCCCCAAAAGGAACTACAATGGAGACTACAGGTAAACCCTAAACCCTATAAACC